CCCAGGGATTCATTGATGGCCTTCCAAGGGTTCTGATGCAGTCAGGTGATTTCGAACAGCCTGCCCACCAGCTTCAAGCCATCGTGGTGCCTGGCTCTCCCCGGCTGGCACAACCCACCCAATTATTCACTCTTTCAATCATTCCAGCAATAAGGTCACTACTTCAAACTTACTGGGCTCAAAGCAAGAGTTACACCTTCCCCCCGCTAACTCCAATTCAGTGGGATTGGTATTGTCTTTTCTACTCTCTCTCTACATTAGAAGGCCGGCATCATATCACCGTAATTCTCGGTACTGCACTCTATACAATTAGATGTTTTAGTAAGTGCTTTAGACGAGGACCAAATACATACAACCACCCAGGGAAAAGGCCACTGATTTTGAGATACCCCTCAAACTCCCGCTTTCACACACAAAAGGGTGCAGGAGACAAGCTAGAAGAGGGAGGGGATGTAGCCTGGAGGGCAGAACTACCTGCCAGTGGGTTTGGCTTGGTTCACATGGCGGTTTTCCCCCTTTGTTTTTTCTCTTGTCCTATGATTTTCTCAACAACAAAATTAGTTATAAGAAGGAAATTAATTTCCAACATTTTAAAATCAGAATTGTACCCAGATTTTGCCTTCTCTTACAAACCAAAGTCTTGGCAATGCTGGACTCTCCTCTCCTCTCCTGCCCGCCCCACCCCCCACCCCCCCATGAAGCTGAGTGGCCACTGCCCCTCGAGGGCTGGGCTGGACTCCCCAGCTTGTAATGGTCCTGTCTGCCCACTCCCTAACTCATCCGCCCACTTCACCCACTGCCAGTACTCGTGGGGCCTAAAGAAGAGAGTAACTGTATCACTTCTCACCTTGCACAAGTCAGTGCTATGAATCACCACACCGGGACAAGAGGCACAAAGCGGGACTGTCCCAGGCGAACCCTGGCGCCCCACCTGCAAGCATCTGAGCCCCATGTGGGGTGCAGAATGGGTGGATGGGGATGCAGAAGAATGAAGTCGGGGACCAACTTACCCTTTTATGTTTTCTAGTCACCAAATCGTGGTTCAGGGAAACATGGACTTCCAACTTGAGCATGTCCACGTTTAGGATGACACCTTTCTTTTTCTGCCCAGATTCCACCTCCTGCCCTGCAGTGCAGAACCAAACGGGGCATCAGCACCCTCCAGGGCACAGGTGGTACCTCCAGGAGCCCTACAAGCCCTGAGGCTTTCTGAGAATAACAAGAGGTCTATGTTGAGCCACAACTAGAGAAGTCAAGGGCTACTTTCCAGAGTTCAAGGCCAGGTCGGCCCTACTTTATGCAACTGAAACACTCAAAAATCTAGATCGATTCAATTATGATGGTAAAAGGGTTCATACCTAAACATGCCCACGGGGTAGGCGTGCCAGCAATTTCTATGGATATGGGTATTCTGTAACTAGGAAGAGGGGTGATGGGCAATAGGCTTCCTGTGACCTTGATGGGTGGCGAGGGACCACCAGCACTCACCTGCCCGATGGTATTTGCTGGCTCTCAGGACCAGGCCAGGCACTGGGCCCCCACTGAACACCACAGAGCCATCTTCCAGCACCTCTAGCACCACCAGGTCAAGGACCATGCCTGGGGTCATCTCAGCCAGGGTTTGGACCAACACAGAATCTGCCGGACAGACCGAAAGGACACAGGGATTAGTAGCAGCCTTCTCCTCCCAGGCCCCCTCACCACAGACGGAAGACAGTGAGCACTGAGACCGTCCCGGGAAAACCACTTTCCGCAAAAGCGGTCCAGAGCCATGAAAGCTCTACTCACAGGCAAGGGCTTATGCCTCCTGCTAATCTGATTTGAGACCAGAGCCCATCACCACCAGAAGCACAGCTCGTCTTTGGTTTCTCTGGTTTTTTCCTTTTCATGTAGCTTCTACCCTGCTCAAGCCTCTGACTTGCAAATCTCTACCAGAATCCCAACAGGCTCAGGCAGGGGATCCAAGCCCAAGAGGGTCAGAGGTAACAGCCTCCACAAAGCTGTCTGGCAGGCCCTCGTTCCCCTCTCTATTTGTCCGACAGAGGAATGGCCACCGGGGAAGAGAACTATTCGTAACCAGCGCAAACCCGGAGGTAGGAAAATGGATTCTGGATGGGGAGAGGCCCAGAGGGGCCTTCTGGGATGCTGTATGTACTTGACGGACGTTTGCCGAACTGAACACTTCACCGTTTGTGTGCTTGATGACCGTCATGCTTCCAGGGAAACAAGTTCACCAAACAATTTTTTTTTAAGTTCCGTGGAGTCTGACAAGTCATCCCAATAACAGACAGGCTCAACTTATCGAACCTCTCCCTCCGCCCACCCGCCCTGCCTGGCAGCCCTGTGGCGCCTGGTGGCGCCCCCGCACCTCGGCTGCTCATAAGGCTGCGCACGCCCTGCAGCTCCTCCAGACACTGGCTCAGGAGGAGGAGGCTGGTGGCGGCCCCGTCTCCCAGACTGCAGTCCGACAGCCGCAGCGACAGCAGCATCCGCTGCTTCTCCTCGTCCACGTTCGTCACCTTGGCAACGACCGTCTGCCCCTCCACAAAGTGGTCGCTTGTGGAGGTCACAAATTTGTCACTCAAGACCTGAGGGGGGGGCGAGTGGACAGAAAATTGGAGGAGGAAAGGAAGTCACCCGCCCCTTCCACGACCCCATGCTCCTTTCTCAGACAGCCCCGAGGAGGCAGCCCGATGGCACCCAGCTGGACTTACAGCTTTGGGGGCCAGGCCACTGAGGCCTGAGGAGAACTGCACGAACACCCCGTAGTCCTTGATGCTCTTCACAAACCCAATGAGCAGCATGCCAGGCTGGATTTCCGGGAAGCTCTTGGGATCCTGGCCGCCTTCTGCGGTGGAGACCAGGGCTGGTTTCCTACAAACGAGCTGGTGACCCTTCGTTAAGGAAGGCTCCAGGCCAAGGCACACGCCCACTGCTCCCACCGACACACTCACTTCGGCTGCCACAGCGAGTCCCCAGTGCCGTCCTAGACTGGCAGCCGCAGCACACGGAGCTTGCTAGAAATGACCTCAGCACCCAATGCCGTCAAGCCCACCCCAGCTGGGATTTGCACAGAAACCCTACACGACAGGGTGAGACTGCCCCACGGGGCTTCCGAGGCTGTACTTTGTACAGAAGCAGAAAGCTCTTCGGTGGGCTCAAACCTTAGGTTAGCAGCTGTGTGCGTTGCCACCAAGCCACAGGGCTGCTTTAGCACCACCCCAGATGGACTGAATTAGTAACTCTGGGGGCGGGACCGGTCCCCGGAGGTTAAGCAGGTCTCCAGGCCGTTCTGCCGAGCACGAGTTCCACAGTCCTTTCTCTATTCACTGGAGGGCCCCGAAGGGCTGGCTCGGTCCTGTGGTCTGACCGCTGGATCAGCCACAACCAATCCTGCCCTGTCCTCACCTCCCACTGACCAACACACTTCCCCCCTCAGCCCATCCCACTCTAAGGACCTTCCACTGTACTCTTCCACTCTCTCCAGGTAATCCAGCCAAGACCAAAGGGAGTGTTTCTGAGCCCCAGGCTCTTTAGAAGAAGAAGGAATGACAGGAGGGCAGTAGCCACCTCATTCAGTGCTCCACGTTAGAGGGCAGGCACTAGGAGCTCCAGCAGGCTGGGGGTGCTCCCACCTCAGCCCAGCACCCAGGGCAGGACCTCCTCTACTGGGCTCCTGCTCCTCTGGGCGTTTCTGGCCTACTCATTCTGACCGCCAGCCGCCTCGACTCTCTCATTTGCCACCAGCGGCCTGGTAGGAAAGCAGAGGCCCGGTCATGTTGTGGGTGTGGGGGTGTATTTCTGTGTCAAGGGACTTGATCTTTTCCCCTCCCAATCAGGTTTCCAACTAAGAGTACAGCCTGCCCCGGAACTGCCCACCTGAGGGCCGTGGCTCTGGACCCGGCCTCCAGCTAGGTCACAGACGCCAAGAAGGATACGACACGTCCTTCGCTCTGCAGACACAGGACCCTGTGGAGGGTGTCACCTGCCTGGAGCCAGTGATACAGCAGTGGGCCATTGGCAACATGATCCGACAGGTGTGGCGTGGGGAGGAAGGCAGGGATGTTGTGGGGCAGGACAGCCACCTCCAGCCCGTCTTTGGCCTTCTGCACAACCTTCACATCCACCAGCTGCCCAGGAAGGACACAAACGAACACATCACCCCTCGCCCTGAGCAGGAAGGATCCCAGTCTGGATTTGGCCATTCAGACTCCAGAACAGGAACAACTGAGAGGCCGAGTTCAGAGAAGCAGCCCCGCACAGCCCCCTAGCCGCAAGCAGTACATACCAGGGCCATCTGAGAGCTTGCCCGAGTCCCCTCAGACCTGCAAGCTAACAGCGGCCCACTGCTGGAAAACCACACTGCAAGAAGCTTCCCTTCCTGATTGAGTCACATCTCTAATCCCAAAATCTTGTCTCCATACCCGTCGTCCCCCCCACGGGTTCTGACATCCATGGGCCAGCGGTACCCTGGTCTGGGCCACTGTAAGAGGAGATCCCAAGTGGGCGTCCAGGGAAGTACCTGCCCAACATGAACAGCCTTTCCTTTCTTCCGACTCCCTCCCTCGAGCTCTTTCTGTGGGTCCTGCAGCAGCTTGAAGGATAACAGCATCCTCTCTCTGGCTGGCTCACAGTTCAGCACCGTCACCTTCACCACCTGGGGAGAAACCCACACGTTCGGCTCACTCTGCCCTGCAGGCCCCTCGGGGCGGGCCTAGGGGGCGTGGGGTACTGCTTAGTGCTTCGGCAGTCCAGCAGGTCCACCAAGGCTAAGGTGACCAGACGTCCCACTTTTGACGGGACAGTCCCAATTTTTAACAATTTTCCCCGCATTCCAAGGCATTTTTAAAAAGTCCCGATTTTTGGAAAGAATGCACAACAAACTAGGGTATATGGTTTTCTGCTGCCAAGTGGCTATTTCGCCAGGATATGAGTTTTATCAATGGTATCCCACTTTACCAATGTTAAAATCTGGCCACCTTAACCAAGGCCTCACATGAGAACAGAAAGGAGAGATGGATACCCTGAGGACAATGGAGAACCCCCGTCAATCAACTATTTGGACAAAAGGCAAAAACAAACATGGATCATTTGGGGGGACCGCCTCCTTTTAGTATTATTTTTCCTTGACAAGGCCAGACTCACTAGTTTTACAATACTGCCCCCTTGTGGTGACCGTGACCTCAGAACAAGCCAGTTTGGGTGTGAGAGACCCCTCTGTCCACCTCATGGCCCCCCCACTTCTCCCAGGCCATGACCTGAATCCATTCAGCTGCCAGCTTCCATGATGCCCACGGAGAGGCTCTCTCCGGCTTGCTTCCAAGCCCCTCCACGGAGATGGGTCAGCCCCACTGCCCCGTGCACTCCCTTCTGCACGCCCCGACAAAGCAGTCCTGCTCCCACTCCTTGAAGCCTGTGCTCGTGGGCCACCAGGGATGGGCGTCTTTCCGGGGGAAGGTCTACCTGGCCAGGGTAAAAGACGGTCTCCGGCGCAGAGATATACTCCGTACTCAGTTCATGCTTGGGCGCCAGGCCCTGCACGTCGTTGTAGAACTTCACGATGCAGCCACAGTCCTTGACCTTGAAGATAAAGCCATGGGTCTGCAGGCTGGGCTTGGCGCTGGTGTAGCAGGTAATGGCAGGCAGTTTGGACTCAACCAGGGTTTTCTTCAGGGTCATCATCAGTCTCCTGGCTTCCGGGTCACAAAGCAAAACCTAGAGGAAGGATACTAGCCGCCATCAACCCAGCGAACCAACCGGCTGACTCTTCCGAGAATACTCTCGGCCAGAGAGCCTCAACACCAGCGGTTCTCAACCTGTGGGTCGCAACCCTTTGGGGGTGTCAAACGACCCTTTCACAGGAGTCGCCGATTCATAACAGTAGCAAAATGACAGTGATGAAGTAGCAACGAAAATAATTTCATGGTTGGGGGTCACCACAACATGAGGAACTGTATTGAACAGTCACGGCATTAGGAAGGTTAAGAACCACTGCTCTACACCTTTTGCTGGTGTAGACAATCCAGTGAATTCCAACTGTTCTCCCTGGAAACTTCACCCATTTGGCCCTGATGCACCACTCAGTATCTTATGTTCCTCCAGGGTCTTAGGCTGCAGTTTCTTCTACACTGTCTTAGCTCCCTCCTACGTGACCTTGCATCTGGTCTAACAGGATGAACGCGAGAAGCAATTAACCAGCTCAGCACTGTTTGTTTGTTTGTTTGTTTGTTAGCTGGGAACACAGAGACCCAACTACCCCTCAGAAGATCATCTCCCCAAGGTCTAAGAAACTCCTCCATTTACCACATTGAATCTTCAAAACCCTGTGAATCTTCTCTGGGGCCCCCAAACTTTGTTTTCAATCACCCCTACTTTAGTGGTTTCATTTGGGCTATTTCTGAGCCTGAAACGTACCCTGGATCCTCCCTCATCTCTCAAACCCTACCCATCCTTGGTAAGGGAGGACCCACAACCAGCAACAGTCTAGCAGGTATTCTTGTGGCAGGCAGCTGAGCGGAGACTGGCTCTGACATTGACAGCACTGACGTCAGGCTAATGGTGACTACTTTAGAGCTATGTTTGAAAGATTAAAGGAGACGATGCATGCCAGGTGCCCAGCAGAACAGTTGGCACAGAATACATGCCACATGGCACTTGCTGCTAGGATCGGCGTCCATGATCCTTGTTGCCCAGTCTACTCTTCCCTTGCCTTTCTGACATACGACCATGTCTGACATCACGCCCTGGCCTGTGGCCTCCCAACGAGATTACCAGTGCCTAATTCTGCAGGGCGGGGACCCAGTTTTCTCCTACCAATGCCACAAATATCACTAAACACACTGCGGGCTTGAGGGGCCATTCCGTGGCAAAATGCAAAAAGCCCCGCTGAGAAGCACCACACTCTTCCCATCGGACCCACCCACCAGATGACTGACGGGTCAGGAGGCTCACCCGGCACTTGACTTCATGCCCAATGCGGTACTTCTTTTCTGGATTCTTCATCGGGATGTCCGCCAGGTGCATGGGGGGGACCAGGCCCCGGATCTGTCCGCCCACCTTCACCAGCATCCCATAGGGTTTTATGGCCAGCACCGTGCCCTGGAGTCCAAAGAAAAGACGCCCCGATGCTTTGAGAACAGCCCCTCAGACCAGGGCCCACCAACCCAGCCCCATGGGCTAACGGTGCCCATTATTCTAGATCTCATATGGACACAGCACCCCACCCCGACCTCGCGATCCAAACAATTCACTGCCATCGAGTCAATGCTGACTTATCACCAGCCCGTAGGGCAGGGTAGAACTGCCCCTCTGAGTTTCCGAGACAGGAAAGCACCAGCTGGAGGTTTCAAACCGCTGACCTTGGGGTTAGCAGCCCACCACATACATACCCACGCAGTTACCAGCGGTCCTCAACCTAGGTTTAGTAAGCTTTACTTCTAGGAAGCTTTGCACGTTTTTTGTGTGAACATGCACTTTGCCTGCCTAACAAGAATGTTCCCGAAAAGAAGTGACTATGTCTCCAGAGACAACAAAGTCTACACAGCCGGACACGAGCCACCACGGACACGGGTTTTAATACTTCATGGGCCTGACACAGACCTGACCTTTAACCTGCTCTAATCATCACCATCAAATCAATCCCAAGACATGATCTACTGCCTCTGAGCTGTCATAAACCTTACCTTTAAATTATGGGTAAGTTATCTGAGGGAAGAGAAAGAAACTCTAGCTAGCAGGCAAAAGAGTCAAGGCCTAGCACTTCCAAGTGTGTTAACATGAAGAATAACGAAGTGCCAAAAGAGCCGAACGCTGTTGGAAGGCAGGAAGTACTACGTGTGTATAGACGAGGTCTTACCTTGACCACAGCCCCAGGTTTGATGTCATGATAGCTAATGTACTGCGCTTCGATGACGGAACTAGAGCGAGAGGGAGATATAGAATTTAAATCAATGTTGGCAGATGCTAAAATTCAAGGCTCTCAAAACCAAGAAAAGAAACCATCCCGGAACAAGCCCAGGAGGGCTTGCCTACATGCACAGACAGACAGACACACACACACACACACCACCCCACACCCCAGCACGTGTTAACGACAGACTTACGTCCGCAGAGAAAGCAATGCCAGCTCATCCATTGGGCTGTAGTCGATAATGCGACACTTGTGAGTGCTCCCAGGCTTGAAGAGCTCAGGTTTGGGGGCTTTCTTAGATTCGGAGAGGTGGTTGAACTGCAAAGTACCAAGTGATTAAGAACAAGCTGAGACAGCTGATCCGGGTGGCACTGCAGCACACAGACCGAGGTGGCTCGTTGTTTCTCCCCATGCACAGACACAGAAGAACTCCTCGGACTAAAGCAAAGGCCACAAAGCACTCCTCACCCTCTCAGGGAGAACGGCACCCATGGCCCAGTATCAATTTCCTTAAATAAATGTGGATCAGAGCCAAGCCCATTCACTTATGTCTTCACTACAACTGGCGTAATACTACCACAATAGACCTGAGCAAGTGCTAAGGCCCTACAGTCCACAAGCTTAACGTAAGTATTACCTGGTTCTTTACAAGATTTTCCAATTCCTGCTCTAGACCCCACCTCATTCTTGTACTTACCACTGTCCAGACACCAAACAGGGCAAGTTGATTCAAAGCCAATAAATAAAAATGGTTCTTCTAATCTCTATGAACAGTCTGCCACAACTGGGGACATCCCAAAGTAGGAAACTAAAACCAAAGCCCCTCTAGAACAGAGGTTCCCAAACCGACTGGACCCATCGCTCCCTTTTCAGGGGGAAAAAAATTATTCTGCGTCCCCCAGCAATGAAAAATGTACTATAGTCCATAATTCCAGATTAAAGGGCAGGTATCTGCTTTTGCAGCCCCCCAGTATCATTCAGACAACCCCTAGGGGCATATCACCCACTTTGGGAAAAACACTGTCTCATGAGAAACGTTGGCCAAGGGAAGTAGCCTCCTCACCCGGGCATAGGCCAGAGCCCCGTCCTTCAGCTGGAAGGTGGCCCCTGTGTTGCTGAAGAAGTTACAGACAGGAACGCCTTCCAGCACGGCCCCCAGGTGCTGGCACGAGAGCCGAGGCAGCGGGCGCCCAGGCTGGAGGAAGACAGGGCGCAAGCTCAGACGAACAACTCTGGTTCGAGGGTGGACGGAGAGGATGCAGGCTCTGACCTGGACAAGGGAAAGGGCAGAGTGAGCAGGAGGCTACCCTATAGCCTAGTGCTTCCCTTCCCTCCCTTGTCCCACCACCCCTGGTAACCATGGAAGTCTGTTTCTTTGGATAATGAAATCTTTCATCTAGGTTATTTTGTTCCCTTAACAGTCCACTGCATTTTTAAAAGCCATTTATCTATGCAAACATGCATCTTCTTCTCCCTGTCAAATAGTCTTCCAGCACATTGTAAATGATACAAGTTTCATTATAAACAGAAACCAAACCATAAAGAATATGAAGCAAAGCTAAAAGGTGCTGTTTCTGCCACCCTCTTCTTCTCGAACCTCAGCCCCCACCATAACACTGGTACTTTATCATGCTCCTCCCGAGAGGCCCCCCCCCACCTCTTCTCTGCCCACCCCTAAACACATGGGCCTACGAGGTGCCCTGGAGCTAGCTGTGCTGCTGGGAAGCTGATTGGACCACAACTGGAATCAAGACAGGGGGAGGCGCAACACTCCTTACTGTTTGTTTTGAGAGATAGGTTCCCGTTTTCTTGGGCTCCAGGTGCATAAAGTCAACCAGGCCCGTGAAGGAGAGGAAGTTTACCGTAAGGCCAAGTGGAGTCACCTAGAAATACAAAGGGCAGGCTGTCATGAAGAGCATCTAGCTCTCTGGAGGAACCAGGAGCGTGGAAAGCGTGGTCCACCATACACTCGCTAAAGGCCAAGCACTCCAGGCCACGGGAGTTTGTTAACTGTGTGCCTCTCCTCCTCCAGCTGGGCTCATCAACCTTCCCTCTGGCCAATTAAGCAGCAGAATGATGCCACTATTCAGTGGCTGTTTCTGTTCAATCTGCTCAAGCTCTGACATGAGACGAACATTCAAATACATAAAGGGCTCTTAAATCATTCAACACTAAAGGCAAATAACCCAATTAAAAAGTGTGCAAAAGGGAGGATGGGGGTGGAAAGGGGGAACATTACAAGGATTACAAGGATCTACATATAACCTCCCCCCTGGGGGATGGACAACAGAAAAGTGGGTGAAAGGAGACGTCAGACAGTGCAAGATATGACAAAGTAATAATTTAAAAAGGAGGGGGGGTTGGGGGGGGGGGGGGGGGGGGGTGGGGGGGGGGAATGAGGAGCTAATGCCAGGGGTGTAAGTGGAGAGCAAATGTTTTGAGAATGATGAGGGCAATGAATGTACAAATGTGCTTTACACAATTGATGGATGTATGGATTATGATAAGAGTTGTATGAGCCCCTAATAAATGATTAAAAAAAAAGTATGCAAAAGATCCAAACAGGCAAAGAGGAGGCCATTGTGGTCATGGACATTAAACACGAGGATACTCAACATCACTAGTCGTCAGGGAAATGCAGGCCACACCACTCGGATGGCTATGACGAGGACAGCTAATAGCAAGTGTTGGCACAAACGGAACCCTCACTCACTGCTAGAGGAGACGTGAAACAGGACAAGCTCTTTGGGAAAACACTTTGGCAGTTACTCCAAAAGTTGGACACAGATTTACAATGTGAGCCAGGTAGGTATCATGAAATTCCACTCCTAAGTATCATGAAATTTAAAAGTAAAAGGGATTGGGATAAAGGGGAGCTGATATCAAAGAGCTCAAGAAGGAAGAAAATGTTTGGAAACTGGTTGTGGTAGCAATTGCACAATTATTCTTAATCTATTTGAATTATGGAATGTTATAATACCTATAAGAGCTCCCAATAAAATTATTAATAAAATAACAAAAATAAAAATTAACTTAAAAATCCTAAGACCACAAAAAAAGGTCACACATGGTCTGACTCCCTTCACATGAAATGTTCAGAATAGACAAATTTATAATAACAAAAAGTATATTAGTGACTACCGTAGGTGGAGGATGGGGAGAAGGGAAGTGCCTGCTATAGGCTTTCTTTTTAGTGTGATAAAAATGATCTATAATCAAATAGCGGTAGTTTAGAAACTTCTAAAAAACTACTGAAATGGATGAGCCAGTAAGGGTGCAGTATAGCATCGATGAAGCATACAACTTTCCTCTAGTTCTTTAATGCTTTCTCCCTGCCCGCCCTCCACTATCATGATCCCAATTTTCCTTACAAATCTGGCTAGACCAGAGGATGTACACTGGTACAGATAGGAACTGGAAACATAGGGAATCCAGGACAGATACCCCTCCCCGCCTCAGGACCAATAATGAGAGTAGCGATACCAAGAGGGGAAGGAGGGGTAGAAAGGGGAAACTGATCACAAGGATCTATACATAACCTCCTCCCTGGGGGACGGATAACAGAAAAGTGGGTGAAAGGAGATGTCAAACAGTGTAAGACATGACGAAATAATAATAATTTATAAATTATCACGGGTTCGTTAGGGAGGGGGGCAGGGAGGGAGGGGGAAATGAGGAGCTGATACCAAGGGTTCAAGCAGAAAGCAAATGTTTTGAGAATGATGATGGCAAAAAATGTTCAAATATGCTTGACACAATGGATGTATGTATGGATTGTGATAAGAGTTGTACGAGCCCCCAATAAAATGATTAAAACAAACAAACATGCAAATGGTCATTTTTATGTTATGTATACTTTGCCATGGTTAAAAGTCATAATACATCACCTAGCTTAGCAGTATCTACACAATCATAATAATTTAAATGCTGAGTATTGATTTAACCAAATGTACAATATACCTACCATGTTAGGAGGATGAGACAGAAGAAGGGACATGAAGAGAGCCAAGCCTTCATCTGTCTTGCTAACAAGTTAAAACTCAAAACCGACAATGGCTCAATCAAGCGATGGCAGTAGACACACACTACCCGGCAACATGAAGGCCAAGTGGAAAAGATCAGCTAAGAGTTTCAGATCAGGTCAGGCGAGGTGAGACAGCTCTTTATTATAAGCCTTCTATTTTAACACCACTTGGCCTTTTAGATCCCCACCCTCCAAGAGAAACATGATATGAGGCACCTCAAAATATTTGTGGAAATAGTCCAGTGTCATTTCATCCTGGGTTTCCATGAACTTTTTAAAGCCCCCCACCCCACCCCCATCCAAGTCACATGAGTAAGTTTTTTAGTAGCCACATTGCTTATATTTCACTATAGGGAAACTGGGAAAAATTCTCTTAATAATGTAATTTAACTCAAGAGATCCAAATGCTATTATTACAACCCAAGGCCTCTTATTACATCAGTAACGATTACCACACAGTGACGAGTGGCCACGCAGCATTTCAGGATTTGTACACGCCGTATCATAACAGAAACTGTGCTGTAGGAAACAGCAGCAGCGATGAACGTCTTACCTTCTGCACTTGGCCTTTGACCACCAACCCTGGTAGCAAGTTATGAAGGGTCCAGCTTTGCTCCTCGGTAGCAATGGCGGTGGAAACGTCCAGGTGACCAATAGACAATCTAACCACTCCTCCATCACCTTTCACTTCTTCAACAACGCAGTTCAGGTACTGACCCACCTTCAGTTTGGCACCTGGAGGTCCGGACCCAACCCCAAAGAAAAAACAGTTCTATGCGAAGGACCTTTCCTGGAGCCCAGGTAATAATAACTGACGAGATCCATGGCCTCGATGGCTGATGGTCATATTCCCACAGTCCCCATCTCTACGGATCCAATCACAGGGAGTGCAGCTGGCCCTGACTCATCGGAAGTCAACCACCTCACATAACTATAAAAATCCCAATAGGCCCTGGGGGGTGAATTTCGGTGGAATCGTCTGGAGGGAAATAACCTGAAGCAGGGCCACCAGATTTCAGTGAGAGTCTGCCATTCCCTGCCCGTCAAGCCTTCCCCCTTCCTTAATGGCTACAAATCACACTGCCTATTTTACCAGAGCCTGTCAGCTGCCAGGATCACCATTCTTCATTACACTCACCAAAATGGTACGTAAAGGTAAGCCCTACATGTCCCACCTCACCATCAGGCACCAGCCCTCTTCTTCGGCTCACCTTTGCTCTTCTGTCGGCCGTCCTGGTGGGCTTTCTGCAGTGGTAGGAAAGCTCTGTTCCCGCTAACACCTATGTCCACTAGGTAGCCATGGTCCTCCTGGCTGGACACAGTGCCTGTGAGCAGCTGAGGGAGGAAAAGGCATTTGAGGAAGTTAAAAAATCAAAAGCAGGGAACCGATTATAAGGATCTACATAGAACCTCCTCCCTGGAGGACAGACAACAGAAAAGTGGGTGAAGGAAGACATCAGACAGCCTAAGATATGACAAAATAGTAATAAAAAAAAATTATCAAGGATTCATGAGGAAGTGGGGAGTGGGGAGGGAGGCGAAAAAATGAGGAGCTGATACCAAGGGCTTAAGTAGAAAGCAAATGTCTTGAGAATGATGAGGGCAACAAATGTACAAATGTGCTTGACATAAATGGATATAGTATGGATTGTGGTAAGAGTTATACGAGCCCCCAATAAAATGGTTTTTAAAAAAATCAAAAGCAGGGAGACAGAGAACCCAGTACTTACTACCCATGGTGAGGCCCCCACCCCCATGTCAACACACTCCTGTACCCACAGCAACTCTCATTCTCCCAGGGCTTGAAGGGTTCGAGACCACGAGGGACGAGACCACGAGGGACGTTATACACATAATGACGTTTTATACATATGTATGTATACATACATACATAGATATAAAACGACAGTGCCCTCGCCCTTAGGGAATTCTCAAACGATAGAACTTCCACGCTATACAAAAAAGGATGGAGCGTGTGGCCTGCTAGACCACTGCCAGACCCAGGAATCTCCCGGTTCTCGTCATGCCCGCTCTCTCAGCACCTCCGGCACCAGAAAAAGCTGGCCAACCGTGCCTTTCACAGAAAAGCACCGTGCGGTGCAGGCCGGCTCTGACTCTAGCTCTCTGTTCTTTGGTACGTCACACTTAAAATGTACTGAGCCCACTTTCCCACCTTGCAGGGCTGCTATGGCCACGCCATCACCTACGTGCCTTCACCGGCCACTAACACACAGCAGGCTCTCAACACTTGAAAATTCCCTGGCTTACTTTTATTCCCTTCTGGCAAACTATAACCTCCCAAACTTTCGGAGCCCACCCCAAGGCCCATTGCTTCTGGCCACACATCACAAGGCAGTGGTTCTCAACCTTCCTCATGCCTCGACCCTTTCATATAGTTCCTCATGTGGTGGTGACCCTCAAACATAAAATTATTTTTGTTGCTACTTCATCACTGTAATTCTGATACTGTTACAAAAGGGTTGTTCGACCGCCAAAGGGGCCTGGACCCACATGTTGAGAACCGCTGTCAGAAGGTGACGCTGATCTCCTTCCTGTTGATTTCGAGGGCATTCTTTTTGTGTGTTTTTTTTCTTTATTTTCCAAGAGCACTTTTATGACTGCTGTTTGCCGTTTTGGACCTAGGAGACGGAAGTTCTGGAGGTAGGACTAACTTTGCCTTAATCGCCATGGGTGTGGGCACATAGTAGCAGATACCCATTATCTCTCAGCTGAGAGGCTAACTGCCCTCTCTGCCCTGTCTGCTCTCAGGATGGCCATCCTCAACCATTCTGTACAACCCACAGACTTTTTTTTGGAAAAAAAAAAAAAAAAACTACATCCATGAAGCCAGACTGACAGGTAAGGCAAGGCTCCTTCTTGCCAAGAGTCAAGTCCTCGGGAGAGATTCCCTGGACTTCGTTCTTCTTCCCCACAAGACGGTGTGATCACGTGTGGGTTCAGGTCTTCCCAGTCCATCAAGAGGCCTTCCCTCCAGGAAAAGCCCCACCCTGTGTGCACCAGGCTGCAAATAAAAGGTGGACTAAGAGCACACAGCCGGCGGGTAGGGCAGGGAGAAGGCATGCTGCCGGATCCTAACCCAACCCGAGGCTCACCATGCCAGGCTTCAGGGCCTCGGCACTCAGCACTCCGTTGACATTCCTGGGGTTCAGGGACAACTTGACACTCTTGTTGCCTCTCTCTGTGAGGCCCACACTGCTCACCACACATCTGACCAGCATTCCGGGTGAGAAAAGCTCAGGCAAGCTGACCAGGTCCTGCATAATCCAAATGAGAAAGGTCAAATACAAACTCTTCCCCTGAACCAAGAGCCCCTTGGCCTACCATGGCTCAACAGTCTTGTCCCACCAGGCGCCGCAGAACCCAAAAGGCTGAAGAAGAATTCAGTCATTGCTCTCCCACAAAGAAAGACTGGCATGTGGCCAAGTCAGTCTGGAACTCCTGCACAATGCCTTCAAATGCCACCGCCTAACAGGCAGGTCTCCAATGACTTGTCTGAAGAGCTGTCTATATACCAATCTCCGTTTTTTCTTGCTCACCTTGCTGTTCAGCAACTTCTGGTCTGGTTTCCAGCCTTTTCCCTCACCAGCTTATCTCTACAACCACCAGTGTTCGTCTGTCACTAACACCAACGGTCCATGCTGTCCTCTCACTTAACCTTTAAAAACCCTGTAAGATTGTTGACTGCTCCTTCCTTCTTTATACAGTTTGCTCCCATCTATCCAGCAATTAAAATACAGTATTTACGACAGGGTCAGTCCCCAGTCTCTTCTCACGCTATTTGTTACCTCTAAGCAACTCTTTCTCCCCTCACACACTCAGCGACCACCCAGATAAAGAAGTCTCCGTTATGTATCCAGCACAGACTTCTATGAGCTCCAGAATCATAATCTCTACTGTATCTCAAATTCAACTGTAAAAAAAAAAATCAAGATCATCTCTTCCCAATCCCAGGATGAATTACCTGGTGTGCGTCAAGGCACACACACCAGAAACCTAGGACTCATCCCAGACAACTCTCTGCTTCACTGCACACATTTAATCTATCACCAAACACTGAGTGTACTCCCTCAATTCTTGTTCTTTCCTTAACCTATGCCCCATCACCCTCAGAGTCTGGACTACGACTATAGCCTACTGACCAGTCTCCAAAAAACTCCACATGCCTTTCTGGCTTTCTGCTATCCAGCCCCAAATTAGAACATTTCAAGGGCTCTCTATTATCTTATAGAATTGAAATACAATCATTAACATGCTCCACAAAGCTATGCGTGGTCTACATCCTACCTAGCCCTCGGCCAGATCCACCCTTCATTCTTCCTTGCTCTCTGCTCTAGTCAGACTTTGTTATATCCCCACCGTCTGCTGACCTCCCTTTCTTCTTTATCCTTCCTCCCGTCACCCCTCAGATCTCAGCTCGCACATCACCTCCCCATGGAAGCGAGCCTTCCAAGCCCCCCCACTGAAGTTGTCCTTGGCACTGAGTACTGTCCAGTAGATTCTCAACCCGAGCATCCACGGCAGCCCCATCTGACAGGGCACACCTGCCCCAGAGGGTTTTCTAGGTCGCTCTCTTTACGGGACAGTGCGGTTTGGGAGGTTCAAGTTGCCAGCCTCTTGGGTTAGCAGCTGAGCCCTTAACCGCTATCCTAGCAAGTCTCCTTGTGCCCAAACCAACCCCACGGCTACGAGTCGACCCTATACAACACAGCAGAACTGTCTCAGAGGGTTTTCAACGCTGCTAAAAGACTTTACAAAAGCAGACTGCCACATCCTCCGCCCTCGGCGCAGGTCTTGATTTGCAGCCAAGTGCTAACTACTGAGCCTATCATCAGGGCTTCTCTCTCTCTCCATTACAAGAAGCTCTCCCGGCATCTCCTGCCTTTCCCTCTCAGCACTCTGAAAATGTGTGAATATCATTTGTGTGCCACTCGCTTCCAGTCAGGGAGCTCAGCCGGGTGGGGGTCCCGTACCTCCAGAGGGTCTTCTTGTGCCACCTGCTCATTCAGCTTTCGGGTGTAGGCGTCACAGATTTCGGTCACTTGCACGAAGCCCTGGAGCCCGTTGGGGAGACCAATCACCAGCTCCAGATCATTTACCTCTTTCACACAGCCCAGAATCCGCATCCCCTCACACAGAGACTGGAAGAGACGATGGGAAGTGTACCGTCAGGAAGAGGGCAATGGCTGGGAAGTGAGGACCACTTTCCTTCCCTGAGATCCTTCCCACAGCTATGAAATAGAAAGCTGCATTAGTGATTACTACGTAGTATTGCTGCCAGTTCTACCCATCTCTGCATCTTCGAAACACTGACACTAGCCAAGTCACAAGCTCCATGAGGGAGCCTGTTCAGGGACCCTGCAAGACACGCCAGCTAAGAAAAAGCATGCGGCCAGGTGGTGAATAACTGAAGGAAGTGACGCCCAATTCTCAGCACCAGCTGTCCGGAGGGGGTGAGGAACACACACATGTCAACGTTTGAGGCCAGCGGTATAATGAGAAACATAATCTCGACAAACCTCAACTCGAAGGATTTCAAACTTCTCTTTGACAGGTGTGATGCTGTCTTTCTTTTCAATTTTCAACTTCTTTGTTTTTTCTGGCCCTTTTTGGCTCTTTTTTCGTTTGGTGGGTTCTTCTTCAGTAGAAATCTACAGGGAGAGGAAGGTAGGCCACAGAGACCCAAAGGAATGAAAAATAATCCTAGCCTTTCTCTCCCGCTTCAAGTCTCACCCATCACCGGGCTTTGCACAGTCCTCCACTCTGGCCCACTCCACTCCTAGTGGCTCCTTAACTCCAGTTTCCATCCCAACGCTCCCATTCACCCAAGGTCTGAGCCTCCTCTGTGTTCTCTAGAGCCGCTGGACACTGGGATTTCCCAGCATTCAAACTAATGTGGGGCAGTGCATAAAATGGGAAGTTAGAGCCACTGAGAACTGCGTTAAACTCAGGATGCCACCCCAACCCGCTGTGTGGATTCAGCTCAAATTATAAACCCTGTCTGGGCATCAAGTCCTCATCATAGAATGGCGATTTCTACTTCATAATAATTGGACGGAGCACATAACAGGTAATCCCTAAGTAAGACCATACACTCAAATCTTAATTTCATTCCCTTTATCTGAAGACCAATGATTCAAAGGCAGAGCATGAATGTTTCGCTTGTCACACGTGACAAGGATCTCTTCAGAAGCACAATGAGCACACCACTTGCTCCCCATTCATAATCAACACAGTAGAGAATTCTTAAGACTAATGAGCAATAACTCTTTGAACTCAGACACCAAATGCAACCTTCAGACGAAACTGACTCGTGGTAGTATGGCCTCTCTAACAAGTGCAACTTGCTGAAGTGAGCCTGAAATCTGGAAAACAACACTTTCAAGCAAGGTATCTGTTTCCTAAGGACACACAAGTAAGCTTCAGTGACTCTCACCAAATAGACACACCAACCCAAACCCAACTCAACCACTGCCATCGAGTCGATTCTGACACCACTCACATCAAACAAGTTGTCTTGTTCAACTGGCTGCTGGAGCTCTGATTTGTGGGCCCTTTTCGTGCCCCCTCGGGGGAAACTTTCTTCCAAGGTTGCCATGTTTGGGTCTCCTAAAAGGAATGCAAAGAGTAACAATGAGATGTAGTCTTAATGGCAGATTTCCTAAAGGCTATTATTATTGGCAAAAGATAGAGCCCTCTAGCTAGAAATGCACTAGATGGCATTCAGGAGGACACAGGCGATTTAGACATAGTAAATAATCCGTAATTCATCCTTCCAAAGACCTCAGCTTCAAACCCACAAGTTCACAGAACTTCCTTCAGGAAATTATAGATTCAATGTCATATTCATTGAGTAGCTACAATGTGTAAAACGGATCAGAAATGTACAAATAAAGTGATTTAATGAAAAAAGAAACACAAATATATCCACTCCATGGCAGCAAATTACTGCGTATACTCAAGAATAAGCCGAGTTTTTTGGCACATTTATTATGCTGAAAAGGCCCCCGGTTTTTTGTAGTAAAATTAGGTGCCTCAGCTTATATTTGAGTATATACAGTACATCTTCAAGGAAACTACGTACTTAAAGAAAACACGGGCACCAAAATCATTTAGAACTCAAGTCAAACTCTACATGTCCACAAAGAGGTAGGAAGTGAGCTGAAATTTCAGTAATGGAGTCAAGTATCCTAAAGATGCTTCTAGCTGAGTGCTAAAAGATGGAAGAGGTTTAGGTTTTTGCAAGGTGAAGAGGGAAAAGCAGGAGGAATGTGAAAAATGTGCACACTCATGGCTACCCTGACTCACAGCCATCCTCCAGGTCAGGGGAGAACTGCCCGTGAGTTTCCGAAGCTGTAACTCTTTATGGGAGTAGAAAGCCCTGTCTTCTCCCGTGGAGCAGCTGGTAGTTTCGAACTGTGGACCTTGCAGATCGCAGCCCGACACATAATCACTACGTCACTAGGACTCCTACAAAATAGGCATAGGAAATGGAAAAGCCCATTCCATGCGATAAACACCAGCAATTTGTCTGCCAAGTCAAACAGCATATTTCCTTTCTTTGAAGCAGAGGTTCTCAACCTTCCTCATGCTGCGACTCTTTAATACAGTTCCTCGTGTTATGGTGACCCCCCCCAACCTTAAAATAATTTTTGTTGCTACTTCATCACTGTAATTTTGATTCTGTTATGAATCTGGTGACCCCTGTGAAATGATCATTCGACCCCCCAAAGGGGCCGGATCCACAGGTTGAGAACCGCTGCTTTGAAGGATTGCTCAGCTATATGGCAGACAAAATAAAGCATAATAAACTGGCGCTGAATCTTAAAAGGCAACTTCTGTGAAAGATCTTGAATTAAGAGGGGGAAAATGAGGAGCTGATATCAAGAGCTCAAGTAGAAAGCAAATGTTTTGAGAATGATGATGGCGACAAATGTACAAATGTGCTTGGCACAATGGATGAATGTATGGATTGTGATAAGAGTTGTACGAGCCCCCAATAAAATGATTTAATTTAAAAAAAAGATCTTGAATTAGATATGAGTAGTTTATATCTGGTTGGCAAATGGGAGCCGTCAGTGGGGGACGGGTCAGAACAATATTTAAAGTGAGGGTCCCCCACTGTGTACCACCCTACTAGAGGACACCTAACAAAGACTGGGTAAGAAAGGATTGAGGACAGGTAACCAGTTAGAATTTACCTGCAGTACAGAAGCCATGAGATTCAGCACTAGGGACAAGTTAAAAGGAGAAGGTGAAGATAGGAGGGGCTGCTTCTGAGCCACTCAGGAGTAAGAATTAAGACTTCTGAGGCGATGACGGAACAATATGCTGGGAATCTGAACCAACGTTTTCATTTCAGACAAGGGGAAATGAGGCTTCAAGGAGGTATTTAAGGCGAGTCGATGGCAACGAAGTGGCTTGGGTTACTTCCCAGGTCCAGAGCCGGCTTCGGGAGTGGAACTCGGGGGACCGAATAACTCACTCGGTACGGATGTTGGGGAGTCCGGCCCAGACGTGGAAACCACAGGACCCCCTTCCTCCCGCCTCGGCCCGCACTCACCTAACCCGCGATGCAAGCACGCTCACCCGCAGGGCCCGCGCCGCTGTAACCACACACGCGGAGATTGGTACACCCACAGCTCGAGGCTGCGCTTCCGGAAGTGTGGGCGGGCTTAACTACCTACTTCCGTTCCTACCAGCGGGGGGGGGGGGCGGGCTGAGATGGGGGCAGGAAGCGGAAAGGCGGGACTTCGAGCCGCAGCCAATCCACGCAGGCGGCCGAATCCCGGAGCCCGGTGGAACGGTGCGCGGCCCAGGCGACTTCCTCCGGCTGAGCCGAGCGGTGGCTGCAGACGTTGAAGGACACTGCCCGTGGAGTTTGTAGCTTTGGCAAGGTGGGTGTGGAGAGGGATCCGCACTCGGGCCTGGCGCCTCCGCTCCGCTCTGCGGGCTCGGCCTGCAATCGGACCATTGCTGGTCCGGCAGCCCCGCGAGGTCTTCGGTTGGGAAGCCGAGAACGGCCGGGAAAACGGGAAAGGGCCTAGATACAACGAGGCCCGGGTTGCGAAGGGAAGGGCAGTGGCTAAGAAGCGTAGGGGCGAGGCGGATGGGTGCGCCCAAAGAGCCTTAGGTTGCCTTTTCCAGTGGGTAAAAATGAGGGCCGCCGCGAAGGGAGCCCTCCAAGGTCATCAGTGACGTCATACTGGACGAGGATTCCGACTTCTGACCCCTTCTGTGGCTGCATGAGCCTCTCTTCCTCCGTGTGCCGGCGCTGTTTGGTTTCTGATCAGCCAGGCCTCTTGGAGCTGTGCAATCGCATCTTTTGTCAAAAGCGCGAGGAAGGGGTGCCGGACCCTGCATTTGGAGTTCACCAGGCAGGTTAGATCGCAGTCTGTACCATCACCGGGAAAGCCTTTGATTCCTAGGAAGCAGCCAGAAAGCCCTGTAAACAACTTGAAACGCAAGAAGCTGCTTCCAGTGCGTTAGCGACTCTGACCCTGTTGTGATCGCAGCATTCAGGTAGGTGGCCAAGAACAGCAATCTAGAGCAGAGAAAACAGGAGCAGCTTCTCATGTGGGACCATTTCCGAAATACCCATCTAACTGGTGGAGAAAGGCATGAAAGAATTACACATCCACCTCCCCCCAGTACTCGGACCCTTCCTCCCACACTGCCATTGAGCAGTATTAATTGACAATTATAAATGTCTTCAGTGATTGTCTCCTTTGGTACTATGTCTTTGTACCAAAGCAGGAAAAGTCAAAAGTTGCAGCCCTGGAATGGGAGACTTGGAAGAGGTTTACTGTGCCCCTTGAGGAGCCTGATACAGGAAGCTGGATTATGCCTGTACTGTGGATAGCTGCACTCAATGAAAGCAACTGAGTTGGCTGCCATCTTTGAGCTGGGCACTGTTGTTTCCCACTCTGCAGACCCAGAGACTCGGTTGCTTATGCAATGCATATTCTGCCCTGATGTTCTAGGAAGGAGATTAAGTTTCTAGCCAAGTATTCACCTGTAAATGTAACCATTTGGGTTACCGTTCAAGTACACCGGCGTTTCCTACATTTGAGTCTGTTTTGATATCACTCATTGGCCATGACTGAACTTGGAAGGGTTGATGCAAGCCCTGATTTTGGTTTAGTTCCACAAAGTGAATTGTTAACACACGAGGTGTCTTAAAGTAGCCTGTACTTTACTAAAGGATACAGACCTGTTTCCGGGCTTTGTGCCCCCCATTGTTGACCTCATCAGAAGTACCCTAACTCCTTACTCCCATCTCAAAAGCTTTCTTAGAGACTGTCACCATCATTCTTTCCATTTATATAAAGTAAGAGGGCATTTAAAGCACCCTAATACTGCTTCAGTTGGACACAACATCCTCGTAAATTTTTTGTTTAGACTCAAGATTAGTGAAGAGGTGTTCGATAATGGAGCTATCCATGAATAATTTAACAAAGCCTTTTTCTTCTGGAAGCCTACTTCATGCCATAAACCAAAAAATGTATCCTAGAGATGAACAAAGGGAGGGTAGGAAGTTTTGTAAAATAAGAATATAAAAGGTACATTGTAAAAAAAACAGAAAAAGATACATTGTAAAGATTTCTTTATATGGAGATTTTCCCACTTGGGGTGTCCTGACCACAGCCTCTCAAAATAAAGGGGTCCAAGGAAATTTGGATTCCTTCTAGATAACTAAGGCCATTTGGCTCAAATTATCATTGCCAGTTCTTTGCACATCAATACCATTAAGTGATTAAACTGAGGGGCAGTGCTAGTTTCCATAGCAATAACCTCACACCTCTCCCTCTTCCATTTCATCAAGAGCCATCTGAGTCTCTGCCACTGCCTCCCACCTCCACCGGCTGTGTTGCCAGTCGACTAGACGTGGTGATGGTCATGGTAGATAGGCGGTCATACATGCAAATTTTCTACTGTTCTGATGACTTTTGAATAGATCTTTGCTATTTTTTATTACAAATGAAAACACGCCCCTTTGTAAAAATACATAGATAGCCAAATAACCACTCTTAAAAGGTCTTCCAGTTTTAAAAAATATAATTACAAGTAGGTATTTGGTCCTGTTTCTATTACTCTGGTGGTTTTCAAACTCCATCTTGTATCATAATCACTTAGTTTATTAAATAGATTGCTAGACTTCAAATTCAAAAAAACCAGCCGTGGTGAGTTTTGTCACGTTGTCGAATTGGTTCCAACTTAAAAGTGACCTCGTGTACTCCAGAATGAAACTGCTTGTTCCTGTACCATATTCACAATCCTTGCTACATTTGAGCCCATCATTACAGCAGCCACTGTTCGTCTGTCTTAAGGGTCTTCCTCTTTTTCGCTGACTCTACATTGTGTCTTTCTGGGGACTGATCCCTGCAGATAACATGTCTGAAGTAACTTGCCATCCTCATTTCTAAAGAACATTCTTTTTTTTTTTTTTTCTTTACAGTTTTATTGGCACATAATTCACATATCACACAATTCAATAAGTTCAATCATATCAAGAAGAAATGTTCAATCATCACCACAATCAATCTTAGAACATTTTTTTTTCTTTTTTAACATTTTATTAGGGGCTCATACAACTGTTATCCCAATCCATACACACATCAATTGTGTAAAGCGCATTTGTACATCGTTTCTCAAAACATTTTCTCTCCATTTAAACCCCCGACATTGGGTCCTCATTTTTCCCCTCCCTCCCTGCTCCCCCCTCCCGCATGAACCCTTGATAGTTTATAAATGGGTATTTTGTCATATCTTGCCCTGTCCGACGTCTCCCTTCATCCACTTTTCGGTTGTCTGTCCCCCAGGGAGGAGGTCACACACAGTTCCATGTAATCGGTTCCCTCTTTCCTACCCATTCTCCCTTTACCCTCCCTGTTTTGCCACTCACACCACTGGTCCTATAGGGCTCATCCGTCCTGAATTCCCTGTATTTTCAGTTCCTATCTGTACCAGTGTACATCCTCTGGTCTAGCCAGTCTTGCAAGACAGAATTCGAGTCATGGTAGTGGGAGCGGGGAGGAAACCTTTAGGAACTAGAGGAAGGTTGTATTTCTCATCATTGTTACATCGCACCCTGACTGGCTCATCTCCTCCCCGAGACCCCTCTGCAAGGGGATCTAAAGAACATTCTGGCTGTACTTCCAAGACAGATTTGTTCAAATTTCTGGCCGTCTGTGGCATCGGGCCTGAGAATTTTTACTTCACGTTTTCTTGGTGAAGATGGTGCTGCTGCTGCTTTTCCTGATTAAAAGCTGAATCTTTTAGAGCCATTGATACTCTGTAAAGTTGAGAAATGGGATGTGTATTTGACAATACTCTGTAAAGTTGAGAAATGTGCTTTATATTTGACAATAGAGACATCTTCCTATAAAGAGCTACCCACCTATATTTCCTCTAAGTTGTCCCTCTTCTTTAATGAACTTTTGGTGTTTTTCCATGTTTGTTTTATTTTCAATACCTTGTAAGCAGTATTTCAGTGACTGTCCTTGAACAGCAAAACAAGTTTCTATTTTGTAATATTTTTATGAGGGAAATTCCCTAAGACGAACTTGCTAGATGAGTGCATTCATTGTATTATTGGATAGATTTACCTACGTTGTACTTCAGGGAGGTGGTGCCAGTTGACACACTAGGAATATCTGCTTTCCCCACATTTTAAAAGATGCTTCCCTTCCCTGAGATGATTAAAATTTCTTTGCCCCAGTTTGTTTGTTTTTTTTCTAGGGCTGGTTGGTTTCACTATTTACATATAAACCAAAATCTGTTTTGTGTAAGGAGTTAGAATTCCAACGCCCTTCTACCCATGGCTGTCAACTCCATATATCAAGTATGCCCATTCCCTTAGGGAATCTTAAATTATAACAAAACTACAATTATCTGGGCTGCAAGTTGACAGTTTGGTGGTGGTCAGCCATGTGAAGAAGTTTTTTCAAGTATCGTAAGTGCCAACTTGAGCTTTAATTAATGTTAAAACTGATTAATTACTACAATGTACAGTGCCCCACAGTATACAGGAGCCTGAAATGAAAACACTAGACTATGTTGCATCATAGAGTGGATTTAGTGGTAACTATTGTGTCCTTTTGCTGTGCTGGATGCTTTAATTATGTTCTAGACTGTGCATTCTGGACTACTCATGTAATAGCCACCAAGATAGTCTTCCAAAAGTTGCTGTATTGAATCCATCTTCCATCTTTGCTACTGCTGTGTTGGATGAAAACTACATAAAGTTTACCATAGTCCTGTGTAATGACTTTTTCAAGTGTTTTAAAACTAAAAAAACAAAATAATTTTAAGTTGTATCCAAACCAATGTATTGCTTTCTTTCTTTTTTTAAAGATCGAAATCATGGCAGGTCCAGAAGCCGATTCTCAATTCCAGTTCACTGGTATTAAAAAATATTTCAACTCTTACACTCTCACAGGTAGAATGAATGTAAGTATTAATGATACCTCTTAAGTACTTATATTTAAGATAGTATAGGTGTAACAGTAATTCTGCTATTCCTTCTCGTCTCAGTGTGTGCTGGCCACATATGGGGGCATTGCTCTGCTGGTCCTATACTTCAAGTTAAGACCTAAAAAAACTCCAGCTGTGAAAGCATCGTAAATGGTAAGAAATTGATACTTATGCATTTATAATACAGTCATTTTTAGTTTTCCCACTCAGTCACCCACAATAAAAATAGCCTTGGGTGGGGGGTGTCTGACCTCTCCTAAAAATAGGCTGGTGGGAAAAAATACAGCTATGAGAAAGAGATCTGACATGTCTCCTCTGACTTCACCAGTTCTAGCACTAACCATTTGTTCCTCCCACAGCACTCCACTACTATGCTTGGCTTGATCATTATTACACCAGAACTCCCAGACAGTACTAAACAGTTATGGGGGGTTTGTTTTTAGAAAAATAAGTTAGGATCAGGAGAGACTTGGCATATAGGGCTTCGTCAGGACAGCCTCTAGTCAGCTTTGGCCTCTAGGTGGCCTGACCTCTGCCTTACTCAGGAAAGTGTTAGCAAAGCTCTTTACTACCATTCCTAAGTCCCCCCGTGCTAGCAAGCCTCTCATCCAAAAGCACTCATTCCTAACACTTTGTGGTCTGGCACACCCGCCATTCTCGAGGTTCCAGGAGGCTCCAACACAGGAACTCTGGGTCCAAAGGACTTGCTCCACTCCCAGCTCTTTCTTGACAGTCATGAGGCCTTCCCTTTCCTACAGGATTAGCTCTCTTTAAGCCTAGCAGCAGGGCACCGCATTTGCATTATTAGCTAGCTACCCAGTGCCTTCATGGGCCAGAAGCACCTCAGTTGCATAGTCCCACTTATGTATTTAGTGGAAGTTGTAAGACCATGATCGAGACCAAAATCCAGTTCATTGCTACTCCACTCATAACAGCCCTATGGGACAGAGTAGAACTGCTCACCTGGGGTTCAACTATAAACCCTCATAGGAATCCAAAGCCCCTTTTTCCTCCCTTGGAGGGGCTGGTGGTTTCAAACTGTTGACCCTGTGGTTAGCAGTGCTGTGCACACCCACTGTACCACCAGGGCTCCTATCCATGGCAGGAAAGTCACATAAAAGCAATATTGAGAAAAATATTGCCCAAGCCCATCCGCCCAACATTTGTGCACATTTTGGTTTAACTCTTTTAACATAGACCTGTAACCGCTTTGAATCTGTCTATAATTTTGTCTTATAACAAGTATGTTTGTTTTTAGTATATGAGTAATCGTGAGAATGTGATCTCTATTTCACAGATGAAGTACATCTGTTGTTAAAATGAACACTTCTGAGGAGAGTATTGACTATCCGATTTGTTGTTAAAATGCTTTCCCAAAGGATGGTACATCTGTTTAAAAGGCAATCTCTCATTCCCACCAATGTGAAGTAATGCCTATTTCTTTTTTGCTAATTTGATGAATAAAAATAATGTGTAACTTTTAGCTTCTTGGTAAAATGTTTTTCCCACGTGTATTTTTCCTGGTGTTCCAATTTTTTTCCTCTATTTAACAGGTCTTTCTTGGCGACTTAAGTTCTTTACAAAATGCCTATTAAGCTATTAACCACCCATGTATACTAGTTGCTTTGTATGTGCGCTAGTTGCACATTTTATGTAGTCCTTTTAACTCTCCAGAGGCTTTGCTTCCACCTCCCTTCAGCTTACACCAAGAACCTTATGGGAGTGTCACGTTGGCAATAAGTGATGTGGCAGAGTCCCACACCAGAATTAATGCTATAGATCTCCTTCAGACTGGGAATTTGTCTTCATTCCGTACAACTATTTGCCGTAGGGTATCTGCATATCCCGATGCAGTGGCCCATGGTATGTGCCTGATAATCAGGTAGTGTTTTGCTCAATTTTCCATATTAGATGCGCCCTATTAGAAGGTAGCCATATTCCATTGCCAAAAAAATGGAGAAATTGTATCTCAGATATTAAATGTTTCATACTTGTTGCTCTTATTAAAAGTAGTGCACATAAGCTGATACCAAGGGTTGAAATAGAATGTAAATGTTTAGAAAATGATGGCAATGTACAAATATGCTTGATACAATTTTGTGATGTATGGATTGTTGTTTGAGCCCCCAATAAAATTATCTTTAAAAAAAATAGCGCACATATTAGGCTTCTAGTATTGCATACTGCATTATTGGCCACTATTTTTTAAAGGTAGAACAAAAGGCTAAGTTGTATTAATTACTTTCACAAGTATTACAGTTAATTTCAGAGGACTCATGGGCAGCCCTATCATAATTACCAAACGTCTTACTAATGTTGATCACATTTTTGTCTAAACCACTGTGTTTGTTTTTACAGGATTCTCGGCTGCTAAATTCTCATGCCTGGAGAAGTGAATGTCAACTCATCATGTGATAACTCAGTTTGTACAATAAATTATGAACCTGGAAAAGCTGGTTGTTTTTATTTACAAGATATCAAAAATATAAAAACTGTACAAAATGAAACAAAGGCAAAAAACTGGCAGTGACTTGGTCTAATTTTTTTTTCCGTTTACCAAAGCAAGGCTCAGTCCTAGAGGTAAGCAACTGAAATGTCTGTCTGACTTCAAGTGTACTAGGTTGTATATTATGTTAGCTGAAGTAGACCATGAAAACCTGGCTGAGTGTTTCAGTGTAAAAGTAGATGTCAGTCAGTGGTTGTACTTCATCTAGCTCTTAGTAAAAATGTAGTTCACCCTACCGAGTCACATACGTTCTGCTAACCGTGGGCCAAGGAAAGGGCTAGTGGGGCCATGTCACACTCGAGGGCCATGCAGTAACTACCTTTTACAGCAGAAATGTTTATGCTCATAGAATTCTTCAGCCAAAATTTAAGATGGTATTAATTATACTAAGTTTGAATTCTTTTGAAGCTGGATGAATTGGTGTTTTTTTTCCTCTCTCCAAAATAATAAATTAAAGTAGCATTTGAACAGAATATGCATAGTTTCCACACAATCCAAAGCACCATAAATGTCCCCTCCATGAACATAATACCTCCCATTCAGCTAACGGAAATTAGTTAAATGTGGTTGCTATAGAAATGTGGAACCGTCCTGTTCAGATGTTCCAAGCAGCATTACTTCCAGATCCATATAGACAAAACATTCTTTGTAGCTTAAATATTAAATCACTGAGGTATTTGCTTTCAGTCTCCCTTTTCAAACAGTAGCTTCCAAAAGGTCTTGAGTACCGATGGTTACTGTGGACTGTAAGCTCCTGCAGCTAGAACCAAGTTCCTTCGAGTAAAATGGAGGTGTGCAACTGGTGTTGATTTGGTCAGGTATGTTCCCAGCAATAACTCCTGTGGATTCTCAGGTAAGTTTATGTGCCCAGTGGCTGTAGTAAAGTCATCAGTCTCTAAATCTTCAAATGCTTTGATAGCATCCCACAACCGGACTGTATTATCCATTGAACCTAAGGAGCAGCCAAGAAAATTCATTGAGTGGCATTCATCACATTTGGACTTGGACAGCTTATCAGTTACACTTTATGTACTTGTACATATTTGGTAAGAACCTCTAAACTTGCCTCTCGTAAAGAACGATTTCAAACAATAGATGAAGCCAAGAAGTCAACATACTTGTAGGGTGATAACATAAGGGGAACAAAACCTAAAAACCGGTCACCGCCTTAACATTCTAAGGCATATTGACTCTACAAAACAGTCGAGCTGTCCCATACACTTTCCAAGGCTAAACAATCTACAAAAGCAGACTGCCACAGCTTTCTCTTGTGGCAACACTGGTGGCCTTAAACCATCCACCTTTCCATTAGTAGCCAAGGATGTACTGCTGTGCCACTACAGCTTAAACCCCAAATAAACCAAAACACCACTGCTAACAAGTCTACATCAACTCTGCAATCCTATATGGTTTAAATTCTGCCACGGAGTTGATGCCAACTCATAGTGACCCTATAGGACAGGGCAGAACTGTCCCTGAGTTTCAGAGATTAACTCTTCAAGGGAGTAGAAATCTATCATTCTGAGGAGCTGCTGATTTTGAATTGCTAAACTTTCAGTTGCAGCCCTACTCAACCACTATGCCACCGGGGCTCCTAAAATAATAAATTTTTAATTGTCAACACCCAGTGTTTGCTTTTCTTAAAATTAAGGCAAAGATAGACAAGTCATAACATTAGCCAACATTGGCACATTTAGAGTTCAATGCCCAATATTGCTTGTCAGCATATCATTACCACAAAGCCATCTCTACAGTCACTTACCTGATGCTAAAATTTCACCATCTCTACTAAACCTAAGTGAACAAACTGTATCTGTGTGTCCTTTTAATTCTCCAACCATTAAACCATGTCCAATATCCCACAGGAGTACTCTGCCATCAGTTGCTCCTGTAGCCAGGAATCTCCCATTGGGAGAAAATGCCAAGGAATGAATCGGTCCCTAGAAAAGAGAAGTCGATGGAAATGATAAATATAATGCTGAATATACATATATAAAAGACGAAGTTAGAGTTGGTGATTTGGATAATACCTTCTAAACGTTTGTTAACATAGTTGATCTTGAAGGCAGTTTTGTGTGCAAGAGTAATGAGGGTGAAAATTACCTTGTGTCCAGTGAAGACTCTTACACAGTTCCCATTCAGGACATCCCAAAGCCGCACTGTTCGGTCTGCAGAACCCGTAGCAACATAATTAGAGTTTGGATGGAATCTGGTACAATTTACATCAGCAAGATGTCCAGCAAATATCCGTAAAGGCTGGTAGTGGTCTGTAGCCCAGAGCCTTTTTCAGAAGTTGAAAAGTTGAACGTAAAATATGATAATTAGTAACACGATAGGTCCTAAAATAAATATGGCAGTATCTATGTCAAGTGTTGGCTCACTAATTAATTGAGGGAAAGATGAATAATTGAAACTTTATTTGGAGTTGGTCTGGTTAAAAAAATTTTTAATTAATTTTGAATGCTCTACACAAACCCTGGTGCCAACCTCAAGGTCATTGGTTTGAACCCACCAGCAGATCTCGAAGAAAGATGAGGCTCTCCTATGAAAATTTACCATCTCAGAAACCCTCAACGGGGTCACGTTAAGTAGGAATTGACTAGATCACACTGGGTTTCAGAGTTTATATGAACCTTACCCCACCCCACCCCCAACTCCTTGACTAAACCATAAGTAACCTATTTCTATTCTAATACATAATGACCCTACAGAACAGTGGAACTGTCCCCTTAGGGTTTCTAAAGCTTGAGCTTCAGAAGCAGATTGGCACACAGCTTCCTCCTGTGTACCTGCTGGTGAGCTCAAACAACCCATCCATCAGCACCACAGCTCCTTAAACCTAAAATAGTAGGACACAATTTCCCTTCAGTTTTGGCCACCACATAATTCATTTCTGATCTGATGTACCTTAACCTAAATTATTTAGAAAATATGTAAAAGAAACAAAGGCTTGATGGTTAAGCATAGAAGGTGGGGGAGGCATGGTAGCAAACTAACAAGACAGAAAGGCAAGACTTGTGGTGTACACATAGTTTCAGATGTAATATTCCTGTCCTGATGCATTTTCAAATACGGGGCTCTAAATGCGGAGTAACTTGGGGCAGAAGAAAATCAGGAAATCAATATCCTTGCTTACGTAACCCTAACGTTCTCAAAAAGTTGGTCCCTAAATAATAGAAATGAAAAGGAGTTTGGTGCATGCAATTCCCAAAGAAAAAAACCATTCTGTTGGTTGAAAAAACTGCAGTATTCTTACCGAGCTACTCGGTCATGACCCCCTGACACAAAATAGTATCCGTGGGGAGAAAACTGTGTGTCCCATACAGGGTAGTTGTGTCCTTTATAGCCCACCAAGCAGGTGAACGTCTGAAGGCTCCACAATCGAACAGTTCCATCTTCTGAAGAGGAAAGCAGGTAGTTCCTAAGAAAAGGTGATAGATACATTTGATTCCCAAAATAACATCTGGTCACCTGCCCACTTGCTCCACATATCTGACTATATTATAGTTTACATGCTACACCTCACATTTAGTATATACCTGGAATTCACAGTATAGAGCAAGAGTTGAAAGTCTTCCTAATTTGTTACATGATCAAAAAATACACTGAGTTGAAAATACCAATCAAATCAACTACCCTTGATGCTCATCTGAGCACCTACTGTCGAGTTTGGATTGTGAAAAGTAGGGTCTACTAGGGAAAAAGCCCCAAGCCCCAAACCCCAATGCCATCAAATTGATTCTGACTCAGCTACCCTACACATTCCCAGACCAAATCTTTACATGAGCTACAGCCTCGTCTTTCTCGCAGAGAGGCTGGTATGTTTGACACACCGACATCACAGCTAGCAGCCCGATGTCTAACCCACGGCACCCAGAACTCCATAGAAGGGAATGCACGGTTCTTGAACTATGAGAAAAGGTGTCGTAGTAATGTAAAACTCAAGCTAATTTTTTAAGCCTGTCAACCCTGAAGTTGTAAACCTTGATTATAGTGAAGCTGCCATTCAGTATACCAGTTACCCAAGATAATTAGGAAACAGCAAGATTCTAAATGATGCTGAATGAAAGGCAACTGTGAGATTTTTCTAGCAGTGCTCTCCCAGTATTTGCATGATGTTTCCAGTATTTAACTTTCATAGAATCTCAATATACGGAAGCAGTTTAACGTTTGAATTTTACCTATCCGGGCTGAAGCTGGCTCCATAGACAGGCCCACTGTGACCATACAGAATCTTCAGCTCACTGGCTGTTTTCTCATCCATGATTCTTTCTAAGACATCATCCGATTCTTTGTCTATGAGGCTAAGATCTAAAATGGTCCAGAAATACTGAATATTAAAGGCACATTCATCAAAGCAGTTTAGGCACTCACATCAGTGCTCAGGGAAAGAACTAACATTGAGAAGTTCTCAATGCTTCCAAATTAAGTGATAGCATCCTAGTTGTATGTATAGAAAGCTTCAAGTTCAGAGCAGTTAATACACACAGCTAGTCAGTTTTGAAATTAGGACTGAAACTCATGTTTTCCAATGATATCCCTATTTCACAAAGATGAAAATGCTAAAATTCTTTTTAAATGTCTTCTTTTCTTTAAATAATGCAGTTAGCAAGAAGTTCTTTAAAATGAAGTCCTGCACTTATTAGATTTTTAAGCTATTATTTTGCATTTCTCCCACGTTTTTAACCATTTTATTAGGTGCTAATCCAGACACAGTGTAATCACATCCAGCAGTGTTGTAAAATTGTTACAACACTCAGTTTCAGAACATGTTCTTCCTTCTTAAATGCCTTGACACCAGCTCCCTCTTTTTATGGCTAAAATACAGAATGCAATCTCGCTGTTTAAAGATTTCTGAAAATTCTCAATCAGAAAATGTTAGATGTTTAACTTTTAGAAATTTTCTACCCTACCCACCTCATTCTATAATAGGGGCACTGATGGTCATAGAAATTGAGCTGGTCAAACACCCAAGACCCTGTCATTTTAGTGTGCTTTCCCTTGGGGAGGTTAGCATCTCAAAATGAGCTGAATCTTGGCCAAGATGACAAGCTCTGTGCAGATCCTATGGAAACCGAACTGGTAAAAAGTGGAGAGATGGAGCATATAGGTGGCACCTGCCCTCAGAGGTCATCTGGTTACCTGTGGCTTGTTTCACACTGCGGAGCTTTCTGGGTGTCACAGACCACACTCTGACAGTTGAGTCTGCAAAACCTCCAGCAATCAGGCTAGAATCGTCAGTGACATCCACTGCAGTGAGGCCCTGCCAATGGAAACCAGTTTATAGTAAACAGTACTGCTTGAAGAAAGACAAACACGACAGCCCGTGTACAGAATACTACATGTTGTACACTCTTTTTCTTATGAGTATATGACCCCAAGACTACTGACTGGCTTTATTCCCTAAGGTTACCTTTTAGCTTAATAACAACGTGGGTCACAAAAATAAAGAATATGACCCACAAGTACGGTGCACCTATTAGAAATCATCCAGCCTAGTGGGGCTTAATAAGGGCAATATATAACAGGGAGGAATTACTAGACCTGAATGAAGGTCAAACATCACGGTGGGACAAGAGAAAAGTAAAAGGAAATAGAGGAAAGAAGCAAAAGAGATTTATAGAGGTCTAAATACAGGTATGTACATATGGAAATATATTTTTATATAATGACAGGTAAATAGATCTATATACTTATATCTATATGTTAAGAATTAAGGAAAAAAAAATAATTAAGGTAGCAGATAGACATTGGGCCTCAACTCAAGTACTCCCTCAACACAAGAACACTTTGTTCTAATAATCCAGCATTCTGTAATGCTCACCTTCCCAACACGATCACTGAAGACAAAATGAATGCATAAGCAAATATGGTGAAGAAAGCTGATGGTGCCCAGCTATCAAAAGATAGAGCAACTAGGGTCTTAAAGACTTGAAGATAAATAAGCGGCCATCTAACTGAGAAGCAACAAAGTCCACATGGAAGAAGCACACCAGCCTGTGTGATCATGAGGTGTCAATGAGATCAGGTATCCTATTTAAGACCCAGAACAAAATCTTACCAATGTGAATGGGGCGGGGGAAGAAGGGGTGTGTGGAGTAGAGACCCAAATCCCATCTGAAGACAATTGGACATCCCCTTACAGAAGGGCCATAAGGAAGAGACAAGCCAGTCAGGGTACAGTATAGCACCAATGAAACATACAACTTTCCTCTAGTTCTTTAATGCTTCCTCTCCCCGCCTTCCCCCCACTATCAGGTCTTCAATTCTACCTTACAACTCAGACTAGACCAGACATGCACACTGCTACAGATTAAGAGCCTGCAACACAGGGGATCCAGGATAGATAAACCCCTCAGGACCAACAATGAGAACAGAGATACCAGAAGGATAGGGGGAGCGTGTGGGGAGAAAGGGGGAATCGATCACAAGGATCAACAAATAAGCCCCCCCCAAGGGGACGAACAACAGAAAAGTGGGTGGAAGGTTACGTAACAGAGGACAATGTAAGATATGAAAATAATAATCTATAACTTATGAAGGGTTCATGAGGGAGGGAAGGCAGAGGAAAATGAGGAGCTGATATCAAGGGCTCAAACAGAAAGAAAATGCTTTGAAAATGATGGCAACATATGTACAAATGTGCTCGACAATGGATGAATGTATGGATTATGAAAGGAGATGTAGGAGCCCCCAATAAAAGTACTTAATAAGGAGGGAGGGGAAAAATGAGGACCTAATGTCGGGGGTTTAAATGGAGAGAAAATGTTTTGAGAAACGATGTACAAATGCGCTTTACACAATTGATGTGTGTATGGATTGGGATAACAGTTGTATGAGCCCCTAATAAAATGTTTAAAATAAATAAATAAATAATAGTACTTACTAAACTAAGTAAATAAATTTAAAAAAATCATCCATGAGACCAGATAGTCAGCAATTACCTTAAAAACAAAAAAAGGAAGATACAAGAGCAGGGAAACTAGTTCACCAGAAACAACCACTAAACAGAAATCATGAGTAGGTGGATACGTTCTGAAGAAGATACTCAATGGTACTGAATAACTGAGTAAAAATTGTTGGAGGTTGGTCAATTTCACTGATGAAAAAACAAGAGAGTTAAAACCCTCACATGGCCATTCATGCATGTGAATGGGAAGCTAATCGGCTGTGTAAAATTTCAACACACACACACACACACAGAGGCTGGAGGGAAAATGAAGGAGGGTATATTCCAGGATGGAGAGGAGACGGGTCTCACTGTGAGTGAAGGAGAAGCTACAATCAGACAAGAGAAAGATGGGAAAAAATTATGGGAACAGGGTAAGCCAGTGGGAGGAATTTGATAAGTTGTTCAATACAAAAATGATGACCTGCTCTGTAAACCCTCGCCTAACCCCCAATGAAAAACTGAAGAAAATTCAGAGAAACCACTTGCAATTCATGTTTTTCAGTTAAAAACCCCCTTTCTGGAAGCACTTATTTTGAGAATGTCATCATTTATTCCATTTTCCCTCCAAATTTTTGCACTTTGCTAAACATATCCTCAGTAGCCTATTATAAAAAGTCTATATGGACATGTAAATTTTTTTTGTATAATTCTTAATTAAAAAATTATTAAGCTTACATAAGTACTTAAACCAAGTTCATTAGGGATGAATCACAGTTTCCTATTTCTCAACAGCTAGCAGAATTCTATTCAGTGGAACAATGGTCAAGTATATGTAAGATTCAGGTATCTGCAAGTAGCTAAAGATCTCGTAAACGTTGCCTTCAGTCCATTATGAGCAGCATCCAATCTCTTTTCCTAAATGCTGTATTTATATTGACCTTGATAATTTAAATTTCAAAAGTACCTTTCAGTTAACACACTGAATTTCTTTTAATAATGAATCACCATTTCACATGACTCCCTCGGCAGAAACCGCCCAGTTATCTCACCAACCTGGTAAGCATTAAGGAATGTATAGAAGCAGATAGAGGGGAGGCAGTCTGGACCAAGGCGGACTCGTTTGGTGGTTTCTTTCATATTCATAATCTTATCCAACTTATCTGAATCTTTCAACTCGGGAAGAGGAATTCTGTGAAAGAAAAAAAGGCCGGAAATTCTCCTTTGCATACTGGCAATTGAACCCCCACTCAAGTTCTCGAGCTTCTTCCCTCACCTGTTCTGAGGTGGAGCATTGGGGTCTTGTTTTTTGCTTTTGGACCCAATACTATCTTTTTTAGGCTTTTTCTTTTTAGGTTTTCCTTCTTCATTTTCTCCTTCTTCATCCTCATCATCCAAGGGCACCTCGATTTCTGGTTCTTTTAATAAACCAAAAAAGACCTACAAGTCAAAAGTCAATATTTTAATTAATTTTTGATACCTAATACATACTTCTTAGTACATACACCTTAGCACACTTCCCATTCCTATCCAACTGCCATTCTCCCCCTTTCCCCTTGCTAACAGAGCCCTGATCTTGCTGGAGCAGCAGGGTCCTCCATTAAATCACTTCTCAGGCTCTCTTGCAGCTAGAAATGGTCACACTGTTCTGACCAACAGATATATACAGAAATATACTACATGGAATTTTAGTGAAAAACACGATTTTCCTGATAAAAAGGGAGTTTCAACAGAGCCATGCCCTTTGTCCTCCCCACTCTTCCTTCATGAAGTACATGTGCATACAATGCTAGAGCTGCAACACCAGCTTGTGTACACAGAGAAGAAAGTCATATTTGAAAGAGGGGAGCAGAAGTATAGAAGGAGCCGGGCCCCTGAGGGCATTGTGGTGCCCCTATGGCAACCCCACAAGCTCTTCCTTTGGACATGGCTTTGTGGGGGAGGGGCAGGGAGGGACACTGTCACCGTGTCAGGCTTCTGTTACATGCATCTATTCCTAACATATGCCTTTTCCTTGAAACAGGAAATTAATCTTGCCACCATAATTATACAGTCAAATCACTCCCAAACTAGCTACAAGAAGAAAAAAGAAATGTGCAAAATTCATAGCTGGAAATGCTACAATTTTTCATACTCTGCACTATAGAGATCTGAAGGTTTACTCCCATACCTTTGATTTGTTTGCCTCTCGTTTAGCCTCTCCTGCCAAACTTCCCACCATGGCGTCTATCTGCTGCTTACTACGCGGCATCCCATCGAAGATGTCGATGTAGAGGTGCTCCTGAACGATGTTCCATATCTGATTGTTCTGTTTCTCCTGAAGATGCCTCTTTAAGAGTTGGTATGAGTCCCGGGAAATTCGCAAAACAAATTTACTTGTTCGGAAGTCCAACATGGTCTCATTCCCTTTCATGTGCTCCTTTTTGGTAAGACTAGATAATACTCGGAGGTCGTCCTGGTAATAACATTCTTGATCTCCATGGAACCTGGGTCAGTGATTTTAAAAGGTCATTTGTCAACATAATCACTAAGGGATCCGCCTCTCCCCCACATATTGATAAACCATCTAGAATTTTTTCAAAGCAGTCATCTGAATACTCCTGGGCCAAGCTGCAGCAAGAGCAGAAGGAACTTATTCAAAATGACTCCAATGCTGTGGCTACAGGCATGCTTATTTATTATTTAATTCTCTACGGAAATGTATCAAACACTCCAAGAGAGGGATCTGAATATATTATAAATAAAGATGATTGGTAGAGATTTTCATTTGAATGCTACCACTGGTAGTCATTTGAAAACATTAAAACTCTTGCTTTACTAAATTTTGGCTTTTTCAAAACTCACAAGCTTTTCATAAGTATTACAGAAATTTTAAAACAATTTCAAAAGTAGGTAATTTAACAAACTCAAGGAACTTATCAACAACCTTTCAGTATTATCTACACATGGCATTCTTTAAAAATGTACTGATTTATATATCCTAAATATCAGATTCAGTTATTAAATAGCAATATTCTCATCCTACGACTAAAGAACAAACATATGCTGATACCAAACAGTATTTCTATTAAAACCACTATTGCCACAACCTTCAGCCTTGGTAACAGTTGGTAAATTTAAAGGTACTTTTGTTTTTACACATCTTAGTTTTCCAAGTATAATTAAAAATTATATTGACACTCATGAAACAAAGCAGTTAATACATAAATACTTAGAAAACAAAAACTAAATATATTAGTTCTCTGGCACTGATAAATACATAGCCAGCAGATTTCTCCAAGTGTTACCTGTTTTATTCTATTGTGATTGATTCATTAATACATGAACTAAGAGCTTCTGTTTAAGATCCGAGTTAAATTAGAATTCCCAGTTTCTTGCTGTTTATATCAGTCACTGCCCAGAACCTTAGGTGAGCATGGGCCCCTGGCAAAGGCTGAGACTGGTCACAGCAGACTCCTTCTATGCTAGTCCAGTTTTGAGTGGGGAGATGGCTGTCCCATGGGACCAGAAAAGTTGTTTTGTTTATAAAACTGTAAGAAAAATGTGCTTCTATTGTAGAATTTCTATCATCAGCCTTTGTCTTCCCCACCCTTTCCCACCGGCCCACCCCCACATACCTTGATCTACAGGACATTTTGCTTCACGTACTTTCCATTAGGCATCGTGGCACAGAGAAAAGAGCCATGGCATGGCAGCAAGGAGTCTCACATTCTGACCTCTATTACCATCACCAGCTAGCTAATGCAGTCTCATAAATCCTGGCTTCTGGCTCGACTGCTTATACTGAACAGGTCTCTGTGAAGTACTTATCCTTCTTAAACACTCACTGACATTCATAATTCTCTTGATTTTCTCCCTACTTCTCTGGCCTCTCCTTTCATCTCTCTACTTGGTCATTAAATGCTGGAGTACCTCTGGCGCACACCCAGGACCTTTACTGGTTTGCTTCCTACTCTTCCTGCAGGCAGTCTCATCCATATCTCTCACTGTTGAATATTACATTTGGCTACAATCCCTACCTCTCTTCTAAGTTCAAGAATTTTCCATTATCATCCACCTATCTACTGGATATTTGTTAAATGAGGCATAAGCTGATTCAACATCATTCCATGAGTTGACAAACTGGATCCTATCCTAGTGTTTTCTATCTCAGTGAAAGGCACTCTTGAATAGCTGGGAGAGTCTGAAAGCTAGGGATACCTAGAGCCTCAACCCCTCACCCTTCACATCCAATCTATCATCAACTCTCTACTTCGTATCTCACCTCTCAGTATCTATTTCTCTTCACTTCCCCATCACACCCTAGTACACTGTTTTTTAATGGGGTGTGACTGGCATTTGAAGTAGGGAATTCTTTGCTAAATGGGACTGCCCCCGTACTAGAACATTCAGTATCCCTAAGTCACACGCCCTTCCTCTATGGTCATTCCGCACATTTTCAAATAACCCACAGTGGAAAGAAAACTTACCGCTTCCAGCTGATAGCCATCACAACAGCCTCTAAAACTCATCAACCTGTACTCACTCTGGCCCCTACCATGAATTTTCTAAACAGCAGAAAAATATTTTCAAACTACAAGCCTTTCAATAACTTGTTAGTTCATGATCCACAAATAATCTTATTTACTTACTTATTTCTTCCTCCATACTAACAAAACAAACCTGCTCCATTAAGTCCATTCCAACCCCTGATGACTGTACAGGGTGTCAAGAAGAACTGCCCCATAAGGTTTGCAAAGATGCCAATCTTTACAGGAGCAGAAGATCTATTAATCTTTCTCTCACAAAACAGCTGGTGAGCTTGAAAAATGAATCTGTGGTTGGCAATCTAACGCTTAACCCACTACACCACCAGGGCTCCTTAACCATAAGACCTCCTGAACAATGCCCAGGCACATAACAACCAAAACCAAGCCCACAGCCATCAAGTCCACTTTGACTCACTGCCCCTCTCCACCCCACCCCCCATCAAGGAATGGCTGGTGGGTTTGAACCAATGACCTTGAAGTTAGCGGGGCCCCATGCTTACAAAGACCACACTTTTTACACTTCCCTTGTATGTTTATGTGTGGCTACCTCACTGATGGCACCGAAAATAAATAATTGTGCTCAATTTCAGAAAGGCTGTGTGCCCTCCCAGTGGTATAGAATGCTGATGAAAGCCACGGGATGAGAATGATAGACTGCCCGACGGAACCTAGGTCCCAGATAATCAAGAGCCCACCAAATCAGTTTTATGCTGCCCACTTTGATGAGAGAAAAAATAACTTTTATCTTCTTTAAACCACTATTGTTTGGGTTTCCAGTCACTCTCAGGCAAGTCTAATCCTACCTAATATTTCCCACTGCTCTTTCGATACACAAACAGCCTCAATGTGGCCCAAGAGCCTAATCCATTCTCCAGCTTTATGATGAATCACACCCAAACCTCGTTCTCAGCTCCCACCACTCCGACGTGGTTTCTGTGTCTGTACCTACCAGCCTCCCTCCTGCCACTGAGCTTGAACACATGCTTTTCCCTCTCCCTTCCTCTAGCTAGTTCCTGCTCAAACATCAGATCTCACTTCAAACATCCCTCCCTCTGGGGAGCCTTCCCTGACCTCCCCCATTAGATCAAACTCCCCATTTCAGGTTCCCTTGGCACCAAGTACCTTCTGAGTTGTGATCTTACAGGTATGTGGTTACAGACACATGCTCGAAATTATATACAGATATGTATTAGGTGTATAGTTTTACAAATCCACATACTTCTCAAAGAATGATTTTGCTTCACTTTCATGTTGATTGTAGACTAGCTCCAAGTACATATGCACAAACAAAGGATAAAAGAGTTGAGATAGTTCTGCTCGATGGCAGTCCAGAGAACATTCAATGAAGTGCTTCAGTCCGCTGTAGTACTCCTCGTACATGGCAGGGTCTCCCTGCTGGTTGTAAGCTGAGAGCACAGCACTAACATCTGGCTGGTCTTCCACGACAACACTTGCAACTGTTTGAAAAAAGGTAAAACAACTCTCAGGAAAATGACTTGCAAAGCCATGTGGCGATGGCTATTGTACTACCGTTCAGAGGGGACTTGACACTTAAGAGGTTTGTCTTGCCTCTCACTCTTTCTTCCACCCAAAATAATCACAAGGCCTTTTAATGAGACTTTTCCCATCTCATTCACTCCAGCCAAAGCCTCATCTAGGTCTTAAACATTTGCAAATCAACATTTTTCCTGTAGCTATCTTTTTTTTAAACCACTCTTTATTTTTTAGCTATCTGATTTTCATGACAGATTTTATCAAAGATACTATATACAAACCAAACTATGTTAATCTTCTCCCAAGGTTGCCACCACTCACCATCATGAAACCAACCAGGCCCTGGAATAGCATTCCCAACTCGTTGAGCTGCCTGATGACTTTTGTAACTTTCCTGAAACACGCTCTATCATGTGTTACCCTATGTGTACATGTCACTTGTTCTAAGAGCATCTTACAGGTGAAGGACCATGTCTTCCTCTAAAGGTATGCAACTCAAACTTGTATGTTAAATCAATGTCAACACTTGGCATTTCAAAGCAGGAAACCCAACTGGAAGTACTTTTAAAGTTAAATCTCGTAACAGAGCAATACCAAATAATAAATAATGATACATCTGTCAATCTAATCAGAATTTGGTCGTTGGGAATGTCTATAAATTTCAATTACAATATTCCTATGTTCTCTGTTATATTGCTGATATGCAAATGTACATGTATCGCTGGTTACTCTCATGGCTTGTTATGTTCATTTTCAGTTTCTCAGGTACAATCTAAAAAATGGCCAAGTTTCTGGGGAGATCTATCTTATAGTTTATTGACAAAATTTTTAATTCACACTGTGCAGAAAAGATCTGTCGCTATCACATTTTGACACATTTCTACCTGTGGATACAATGGTGTGTACTCATACCTTCTGGCAGTGCTTCAGAAGACTGATGGTTTGATTTGATAAAGCCTACGTGGCACAGGATCACCTTTGAGACCTTATCCTGTCTATGAGACTGACTGCATGGACTTTGTGACCATAGTTACTAGGAGGTTCAGGTGTGAGGGCCGGCAACCAAGGCATAATAAAGCCTATCAATGCTAAAAGGGGGGGGGGCGGTTTGACTTGAAAAATTCAGTAATCCAGGGGGGCGGAAG